AAAGATAAAAATAGATCAGTGTTTGGTAGCTTTTGGATCAATAGATAATCTTTCCAGCTGTCTTCTGGAGGCTAAATTACTTGAAACAGAAGTGAGGATGTCTTGGACATGCAACACTTGATGTTTGAAGAGATTGACTCTCCCAGATATTTTGGCTTACATCTGAAGCAGCAGAGAAGAAAACAGAAGAATGTCTCAAAATGGTGGTTCCAAAACATCTTACATAGATTATTGTTATTAATATTGTTACTGTTTAACTGAAACCCCGAGCTTCTAAATTGCAAACTTTAAAGGAAAATAATGTTCTCTAACAATCACTCCTTTAGTTGTGATACACATTGGGGTTTTGTCTGTGGTATTATTTTGTAGCCTGCTGCTGCCCCACTTTTTGTGTATTTCTTGGCACTCCATTCCCTTCATTTACAGTTTACCATTTTCAGCCTTGTTCGTCTGGTATTTTTTTATAATAATGTGCTGAAAGCACTGGCTTTGCTTCCCCAACATTTCTAGGTGATCCTAACTTTTCAATGCAAAGATATTCTGTACAATAACATCTGTCCTTATCATAATAATTTTGGTAGTAGTAATTTCTTCTGTTTCATGTGCTGAAATTTGAGCTCTGTGATTTCCTCATTAGTGGTATCTGGAATTATTGAAAACCAGCAACACAGTTCCAGTCTGGAGCATCTTCTTCCAAGGTTGAGCATATCTCATCTAAAATGCACCAAGCCTCTGGGCTGATTGGCCTGGCTGTCCTTGTCTTGGTTCTGTGATATTCTCTAGGGTTAGAAAAATGTCCTGTTAAGTACCTCATGCTGATCAGAAGAGTTCAGTAATGAGCAAATTGTGGGATGTAAATGTCCTTAATAGTTGTGACACATATTTAGAGAGTTTAATATTTTACTCTAACAGTTTAAAGTGTAAAAAGGAAAAATGGAAGGAGAGGAAAAGGTCTTTGTAAAAAAGAAAACCAGTGCTATACCTTAGCAGAGATCTTTCTATCATTCAGCAGATACTGAAATTTCTCATCATCCTTAAGTGCATTTTGTTCTTATTTAATTTCATTTCCTAACCAAATGAAGTTGAAGTTCCCTGTATAAATAAATTCTGGCTTTAATACCATGCAGTTTTACCTGTAAGGCTTTTCAGACTTTGTTTGATATAAATGACTGTGTTCTGTCTTTATTGTTCAGGTAATACTGTTGGCACTGGTTGAGACTGTAGGCATTTTCTGGAGTAATAGAACAGTCTGTACCTTGATTTCTTCCACTACCAGACATGGATGTGTTGAGAAACTACACAACTTCTCATGTCAGGTGGCAAATCATGCTTAAAACCACTTGAATACTATATTCAGGGAGCTGGATCTGACACTGAGTGACCTGGGAGGGAACTGCAACCTTGGGGTAGAAATGCAGTGGAAGATCCTCTCCTGACCTGGGGGAGTCTGCAGCAGCACAGCTCCTGGCCAGAGCCTGTGGGAATTGGCTCATCCTGAGCTGAGAATAAATCAGATGGGCAGGGAAAAGCTCTAAGGAAGTTAGAATGGAAGCAACTCAGACTGAGAAAATTGTTTGAAAATATCTCGAGTACAAGCACTATGCAAATGCTGGTAATGGTCACAAGAAATCAGGGACTTGATTAATATATTCTCCTGTTGCAAAGTTCTCCTCATTACACCATGAATAGATGTAATTCTGTCCATAGGAAATTGAATACAGATAGTTTGGCATTCAAGGAATTCTGTGCATTTCTCCTCCTTCTCCTTTTAACCCAATGCCAGCAGCAATTTTTACTTCCTTTTCATCCCAAAGTATCTTTCTTCCCTTTGCAGAGAAAGATTAACAGAGAAATGGCAAATGGCTCAATACCAAGCTTTTTCATTTTTTCAGGAAACCAATAAATTCCTTTCTATACCTTCTAGGAATGAAGGCCAAAAATTTATCACAGAGCAACAATAAAATAAGAGTATTTAAGGACTTAAATAAATAAACTTTAATAAACTTATATTTTCAGCGCAGAGCAGATGGTGTTTGACAGACCTGCCTGGAGCTATGTAGCATCACATGCCATGCTAGTTATTTTTCAATAATGTGATTTACTAAACAAATTTCTTTGAAATCATATGCTGAAGAAGGGGGTTTGTATACAGACTAAAAGGCCATTTTATAAGTAACAGGTGAAGGTCAGTTAAAATTCCTGGATAAGTAAAAATCGTGCAGAATGGGAGACTTCAGCCATATTTGTGTGAGTTAATAAAATACCGCCATTGAGTGAGCTCAACTGGATCTCTTGTTTTGGTTTAGTTTTCCAGCACATCCCATTTAGCATCTCAGGCAGACTGAGGCACAGTTTGGGCAATTGCACGCAGCAATGTGGAACAGGCTTTGCTGTGCTTTGGAGGGACAAGGGACTGGCCAGATGGATGTGGACAGTTTGTGTTGTGTGGCCTAAGGGTCACAGAAGGGCTCCCAGTTGTTTTGTGTCTCACAATAGGATGTACCTTAAGGGCCACTGTTTATATAAACACTGTTTATTTAAAACTGGAGTCAGAAGTTACTGGATGGATTTGAAGGGAGGCTTAGGAGGGATGCTGGATTTAGGCTGCCTGGGCCTGCTCTCAGTGAGAGTTCCCACCTATGAGACACACCAAACACCCAGATTAGGAACCTAAATTACAAACTTTGAAGTCAATCTCAAATTCTACTTTCTTTTTTTTACCAATGCCCAGGAGCCTTTTTCCTCTAAATGATGCAGTTTATCAAATGCTTAATTTATTTATTGTCACTGTATCCCATAGCTGACTACCCTGGAAGGACTCCCAGGTTCCTGCTCAAGGACAACTTTCTGACCCCCTAAGTGGGTGCCAAGCATTAATTGCTTGACTTCACCATGTTGGTGGAGAATATATCCAATATATATAAATATATCTGCCCTGCATGAGGTCAATGAAGTGGAATTGTGAACTTGTTTTATTTGAGACCTGTAAAATACCATCCCTGTGTAGTCTTAAGTGTCTCGGTGTTTGCTCTTGATTATTCACACTATGCTAGTCTCACAGGAGTTTTGGCCTGTTTAGGAAATTATTCCCTGATTTTATTAAAAATAAAGCAGAAGAAAGTGCCAAACAAAGGTTATCTTTGCCCTAAAAAAAAAAAGTGTTAACATGTCTTCTGTGGTTATGGAGCTTTCTAATCTAGTCCATTAAAGCTTAAACAATGAGAAGGAAGAGAAGAATTTAAAGAATATTAGATAAATTGAATTATTTGACCAGGAAAATAAAGCATTTCAGAACATGAATGTCACCAAGGAAACTTGGTTTAGCAACTGCACAGCACACAGCTAGAGTAATTTCTTTTTTTCTAAGTTTTCTTAGACTGTAACTCTGTAGTCTAACAAACCAGAACCTGGCTGAGACTGGGTCATCTGAAAGTCTCTGCTGAACCATTCCGACAGTCAGGAGAGGCTTCCTCATCCAAAATTTTCTGCCTCAGCTTTATTGTGAAATTTCAGCCTGAAAAACAGGCTCGATTGTGTGCACATATGACACCTGCTGTCTGGAACAAAATACCAGGGACTGAATTTGGGACATCTAAAACCAAAAGCCTGTGCTGACATTGCTCAGGCTAAAGAGATGTGGTTCTTCAGCTGGGGACCAGAAGAACTCAGTCAAAGGATGAACACAAGAAAAGTGAGATAAAAATATCAGCGGGTGACACAGATGCCTCCTCTTGTGTGACAGCAAATGCTTTCTCTCTCTGTTTTCTGGTGTCAATTTGTGTGATTAACTTCACAATTTCTAATGGATCCTTTTTAGAAAGCTAAGAGGTAAATTTATGTTTTGTATTAAATTCTGGTGGCACTTGATATTGTTATGTTTGAATTTCTAAATTAAAAAAAGGGGATGGATTTTACAGATTTTTAAATGATCATAAAAGCTTTGGCCTCATGTCATAATTAGAATTACAGGCAGTAACAGAAAGCAGGCGTTCTCTGGAATGAATGCCTAAAGCAAAGGCTGGAACAGAGGCCTTGTGCCAATGTAGGGCTGATAACTGTGGTGTACATATGAGAGGGTATCATTGAAAGAGTGTCTTTAATCCCCATCCCACCCCAAAAGTGACTTCTCAATAGCTCCCAGAAACGTGTGCTATTAGGCTCAGCTGGAGAGAGAAAATCGCTCTTAATCATATGCAAGGAACAATTCTAAATAGAAGCATTTGAAAACAGCCTTGGGAAGGAAAGAGTACTGCCAGAAAGAATGGAAGATCATTTTGATTCTTGATGAAAAGCTTTCAAACAGAGTTCAATGTGCAAAAGATGTGACAAATCTTTAGAGAAGTACTTTTCTCTTAAGAGAAAGGTAATACAGCTAACAAAGTCACTTAATGCTTTTTGTGCCATTGAACCTGAAAACCATATTTTCCCCCCATTGGTTATGAGACACAAAAGGCTTTTTTCCCCCTTTTTAATCTTCGTGAGGAGTTTTGCTTTGAGACTTCCTGCAGGAAAGTTTTTTAAGTGGAATTCTTCTTTATACTGAACCTAATGTCTGCCAATATGATTCCTGTTACAGGCGTAGGGACCATTTTCCTTCTGTCCTCAAGCTGTGTTGCTGCTTATTATCATGTTTAACATTCCCAGTGCTTGGCAGGATGGAGATTAGAAACTCTTAATATTCATTTTATAGTGAAAGGTCTTGCCAGATTTTTTGGAGTATTAGCTATAATATATGCACATAATTTATTGGTGGAAAAGTTCTGAACTCTCCGGTGAGTCACCTTAATCTTTGTTCTTATCATTTAGGATTGTTCTAAAATAATCTTCTGTGCCTACTGCACATAAACATGTTAAAAACATTACTTTGGAAATAACAACTTGATGGTAGCAAACAAAAAAGCTGCAATAATTTCCTTTGATGAATCCTTACTATTTTTTTTTAAAAGTTTATATCGCCTAGAGGATTTTTCTCTAACTCTAAAATCTTGTGTTTTTAACAGACTGGAAGGAAGGAGAAGGGAGACCCACTCAACATTGCCATTGACAAGATGACCAAGAAAACACGAGACCTTCGGAGACAGGTGAGCCCTGCTTTTCATAATGTTTCCTGATTCTCCAGGGAAATCATTGCTTTACAACTTCAGGCTGGTTTTTCCACATGAGGAGGTGTAAAGAATTGGTGTCCTCATTTAGATATGGCCCTACATTGCACATGACATTAAGCAAAGTAGCACCATTTCCTGTGACAAAAAAAAAAACAAAAAGGGAGAAGGAAATGCATTCCAAGTGTAACCACCAATGGTCTTTCCATGTGGGAGAGGAGGCAGATTGTCCAGACCTTCCCTGCCTTGGCAGCTCAAAACCCCAGTCATAAAAACACTGGCATATGTGCTTATTTGTGTTTTATTTGAATACACTCACTGGAGTAACAGGAAAGATGAGCAGAATATGAAAAAGAAAAAATTGTAAGAGTAAAATATATTCAAAGAGAACTTCCAAGGTACTGTAGTAAATAAAGATCCTATGAAGATACAGAAAGTCATAATAAATAACAATTTTGCCAGAGAGGTGCATGTCCCATCCCTGTAAACACTCAAGGCCAGATTTGATGGGTTTGAGCAACCTGATCTCGTAGAGCATGGCCCTGCCCATGGCACAGGGAAATGAACCAGATGACCTTTAAATAGCCCCAAGCTATCCTATGATTTTATGAATAACTGCAAAACCCTAGTTTAAACAATACGTTTTGTCTTTCTTCTCTTACATTTATCATTGTGTTTTGTGAAAAGAAAGAAAGGTTGATTCGAAAAACTTGAGATGGAAAAGTTAAAGGAGATTGGCAACCAAAAGGGAGAGGTTTCTCTTTACACCTTCAAGTAAAGGCAGGATAGATTGCCTCTTTTTAGCTACTTTTTCTGCCTTTGAGATTATCCCAGTTCTGCATTCTTTTAACAAAAAAAAAAACCAAACCAAAACAAACAAACAAAAAAAAAAATTAATAATTCTACCTGGCCTCTGCGAAAGTGATCCCAAATCCAGAAAACTGCCAAACCAAGTAAAGATTTAAATGCATCTTCAAGTACCTATTTGCAGCATGATAATTTTGGAGAGAGTGGCCCCTGTAGGCACTTTGAAATCAGTGCTCTGCACTGCTAAAACTCAGCTTATTTCAGCTCTTCCTCCTTAACCTTTAGCAGACGTGTTTGGAGATCATCTCAGAGCTTATTTTGCCAAATAACAAACCCATTGCAGTGGACCTACAGACAATATGAATCACTTTGAGTCTCCTATATAAAGCCTGGCATCACATCTGCTGCTCAGCTAATGACAGAAGAGAGATCTCTGCTGTTCTGACCTCCAAATTTGTGGGATCCTCGGCTCTGCAGTGGAGCTGGGACCATGTGTTGCCTCCCACCTCTGTTCTCACTGCTTCAAGGAAGTAGCAGACTAACACATGAGTGAGTTCTGTGTGAGGCTCTCAGCAGTTGCCTGAATTACTCATCCCTAAAGCCAAATTTACTCTGAAACGTGATATAAAAATGGCACCTGTCTTAATAAGCTGTGTGCTTCTCATGTGTATTCACCCTCGTGGAATGTCAGCCTCAGAGAGCTTGGAACTCTGGATGTGGGTAAAATGAAGCACAGATATTGTATTTTCCTGCTTGGGGATGAAGCTTTTAGTACAGTTTCTGATATTTATGGAAGTTAATCACGTAGGTATAATGTTTATTAAATTGTGGCAGTTGCTAGTAAACTAATCAAGATTAAATCATAATTGTGCTGGGTTTTGCACAAACATAGAGGAAGATGGAGTCTGCTTTCAACAATGTGCATTCTGACTGTAAATCATGATCCCTCAGAATCATGATCACTGTTCTGCTTCATCACATGAATATAATCAGCAGAGTACCTGTGTGTGGCTGCCCAGACCTGCCTGTGCACTCCCTGCTAAATTCCAGAATGTGAGGGTGTCACTGAGGGCTTGGTTGGATGGCTGGGGAGAGAGGCCTGAAGGTTCAGAGGAAATGAGCTGTGGTGGAGGATACAGTGTCCCACTATTTCAGTTTTTGTATTCCGGGCAAAATCATTAGAGAGACAACCAGCTTTGAATATCATCATGCCTTTTGTCTTAATGAATCCCTTTTAAAGCTTGCTTTTCAGACTTTGATGTTTAATGTTAACACCATTAAAACTAGATAACCTACAAGAGTTAGGTGATGAAAAATACAAATATAGATAAATATTTTTTTTTTTTTCCCCCAATTGGTAGTCAGACTCCCTTGCAAGACTTCAGTATTCACCCATCTAAGACTGATTTTTCATTTTCTCCCAGGTCATTTAGCTCTTTATTTGGGAGATTTGATTTCATTATCTGCATAACATGCAGACATGGGAAATGATTGTGGATGGAACACACAGTGCTAAAATTCTGCCTCACAATTCACAGTCACTTCAATATTTCTTATTCTGATAGAATTACATCTTTTAAACTTACATCATTTAAAATCTCCTGGGAATCAGGAGACGACTATGGAGATCTAATTATATGTCTTACTATAAACTGCCAGTAAGAACATCAAGCTAAGTCAGACTGAGCAGGTTCTTGGAAGCAGACACACCTCACCAGCCCATGGCTTACTGCTGCCATTCCTCACCGAATTTTCATGGAATCACAGCGTGGTTTGGGTTGGAAGGGACCCTAATACCCATCTGTATCCAACACCCTGCCATGGGCAGGGACACCTTCCACTAGCCCAGGTGTCCAAGCTCTGTCCAGCCTGGCCTTGGACACTTCCAGGGATCCAGGAGTGGCCACAGCTTCTCTGGGCACCCTGTTCCAGGGCCTCCCCACCCTGACAGGGAAGAATTGCTTCCTAAAATCTAACCCAAGCTCCTCAGTACAATTTAAACAAGGAGCTACTGGAGAAGGTCCAGCAGAGGCCACAAAGATGTTGAAGGGTCTGGAGCATCCGGAGATACTGTAGAAGTTGGGCTTGTTTAGTCTGGAAAAGAGAATAAGAGGGATCTCATAAATCCATATAAATATTTCCAAGGCAGAATGGTGCCAGACTCTTTCTAGTGGTGCCCAACAGGACAAGGACCAATGGCCATAAACTAAAACACAAGAAGCTTCAGCTCAACATGAAGAAGAATTTCTGCACATTGAGGGTGGCAGAGCACTGGAACAGCTGCCCAGGGAGGCTGTGGAGACATTCCAAACCCACCTGGACACATTCCTGTGTCACCTGCTGTGGGTGAAACTGCCTTGACAGGGAGTTGGACTGGATGATCTCCAGAGGTCCCTTCCAACCCTAAAATTTCTGTGATTCTGTAACCCTGCCTTCTGGCAGAGTTAAGTAATTCCTGCTGTCCTGTCACTCCATGCCCTTTCCACAAGTCCCTGTCCAGTTCTCTTGTAGCACCTTTAGGCACTGGAAGTTGCTAGAAGATCTGGAAGCCTTCTTTTCTCCAGGCTGAATCAGCCTTTCATTTTGAACAAGCTGGAGAAAGCACTGGATCTGATAAGAAGTTGTGCCAGTTGGCAATACTGGGAATCTCTTTTTCCCACTGGTATGCAAGCCTGTAGTTAAAAAAAAAAAAGACAAAACCCAAAAGCTAAACAAAGGCATGTGGTACACTAAGCCAGGCCAGCAGTGAATTGGTTCATTCCAATTATTTTGTTAATTTTTCCTCCATAGGAGGAAAGAGAAACACCAACCCAAGATTTCAAACGGTACAGGTAACCCCAAAGCAGCAGGAACACCTGACATTTTGAACATTGCAGCTCTGGGGTGACACAGAGAGAGAGAGGCAGGACACACCAGAGACTTTGGCCACAGCCCCTGGAGGCACAGCTCAGAGCAGCAGCAGCTGTGCTGTCACCACCACTGTTTTGCTGTCACCACCACTGTTTTGCTGCCACCACCACTGCTGTCTCACCTGCTGTCCCTGCTGCCACCCCTGAAGCTGAGCTGCTTCATTCTGCACGAGCCACTCGAGGTGGAATAACCAAAACCATTTGTTTTGCCCTAAATACCACCCAGCTGTGCTGCCATTACAGCAGCCTGCCTGGATTATTTCATTTTTGCCTGTTCATGGCTTCCTGTGCCTCCAAGTGGAAGGAATTGGACAGAAATATTTTTTTTTTCACCATCAATTCTCAGTTTATACTGGAAATTATACTGTCATACAGCTGTTAAGGAGAATTCATCCAACTCCTACAGAGTGAGGTTTATGTTATTACTAAAGCTTCTTAGAAATACTGCATGAAATAAATTCTCCACAGAACAGTATAATTTTCTTAAGAAGTGGAAAACTTCCAGAAATTATCCAGAATTTTTTTTTTCAAGAAGCCTGAGAGCTTTGAAAAGTCTAGTGTGGACTTTTTCCAGTAGTTTCCAGTTTTCATTTTGAAAATTATTAACTTATTTTTAGCCTAGCATTGCAAATACAAATATTTACATAAAAATAAATATTAAATATTAAACCCTCATTTTTAAAATGGCCAAGGAGACTTTCCTTTGTTTCAAAGAATTTTGCTGGTTTTTAAATTTTCATGTTTCATCTGAAAGTAGAAAAAAGAAAAAAATAAAAAGTACTGTTTTTTTTTAATATTGGATTTCTGCTTCTCCTTGCAGTTTTAGGCAAGAAAACTTCTATAAAACATATATATTAATATGAACTGTGGAGTAGAAAGTCCTGAAATATCTGCATTACCAGTTGCATTTTGATAAATTCTTTTGAACATTTAGTCTGACAACCTGGGCATTCACTTTAATGGAGTGAACACATAATATAAATTAATTTTACTTTTAGATATCTAAATTTCTATGTGCAGTATCAAAAATGCTCTTTTTTTGCCACCTGATTACAGTTTTGTGGCCTTTGTGTGTTGTTGGGTAAAATCCAGCTCCAGTTTTTGGACAGGTACACAAAAAGCAGAATAACCTCAACATCCTCTTAGTAGCTACATACAGGTAGTGGCTAAGGTGGTGATTTTGAATATGGAAAAAAGAATTCTTCACACCACTGTCTAAGGCAAAACATTCCACTTCAGCACTTCTTTTTTAGCAAAAATGTC